CCCAGATTTCCCCAAGTCAAGTTCTGCCAGACTTCAAGGAACAGATAATTCCTCTGTGTCAGAGTATAAAAAATGATGGAAAGTTTCCCAATTTAACCAGTGAGGACAGCATAACCCCTAATTATGAACTCAGACAAAAAGGAGCCGGGAGTACATAACAATCTCACTTACAAATATGGATATCAAAATTCTAAATAAAATGTCAGCTAATTGAATTTATCAAACAAGGCAAGAGTGCATTTTGAATTATTCTAGGATTTCACAGACAGAAAAATCTAACAGGATAATCAGCTATGCTAACAATTTAGGAAGAAAAAGCATATGAGCATATCAATACATGCTATACAAATGCTTTTGGAAGGTGGGGGAATCACTCACTCCTGACTTCTTAAATTCTAATTAGACATAAATGGAAACTTACTTAATATGTTAAAGAATATACTCAGTTAAAATATACTGGGAGCGTTACCCTAAAAGTAAGCCCCAAACAAAAATGTCTTATTTAACCTCATTGGTCAACAAGTAGAGGGTGATGGATAAAAGACAAGACACAAGTCCACAAAAGAGACATCTTGTTTCTAAGAAGATTGTCTACCTAGAACAAACGAATCAACTGAAAAACTATTAAAATCGGGTTTATAGTAGGGAGGCTCAACTTCAGATCTAGTTTTGATTACCAAATTAAACGTGCCTGCTTTGAGAGTTAATCATGTAAAGCTATTTTCTGTAGAGTAAGGTGTTAGGATTGACAAGTTGATTGCTCAACTTCTCCTCCCCCATCTGAAATAATACCGTGTTTGAAATTGGATAACAAAAATCTTCTGAAAGCAAAATTTGTTCTGAAGGGTGAGTTGTAACTCTACTCAAAACCACTTTATCTCCTGCCTCCAGCTACTGCAGTTACTAATGGATAAGCATGTCAACTCAGTTCAACATAATTCTTCCGATAGAGGGCAAAGAAGAGCACCTTCACAGTTATATTTTTTCCAAACCGTATACTGCTTATTATATAAACTTGCATACCAGCAAGCGGAGCTTCCACAAAAATAGATTATTTAGAATCAAACTTCCTTAAAAAAAAACAAAAAAAACAAAAAAGACAAAAAAAAAACCCATAGAACTAATCTTATTTCAAAGATTTATGAAGAGGAGACTGTTCCTTTTGCACTCCCGGCAGGCTCGGCAGAATCCGACCACCCAGAGAATCCAAACGGTCCCTGAGGGCTCCCTAGGCTCAGTGAACTGTGGCACCGCCAGCAGACCTGGGGGTTCCAGGATCCTTCCCCCCTTCACCACAGGCCAGGAAGAGCTCTGTGGACGCCGAGGATGGCTACTCGGAGCCCGATACCACTACAGCGCCCCAGGACAGCAACACAGAAGGTGCCCGGAGGCTCTCGGGGCCGGAGTAGCCCGGGCTTAGCGCGCCCACGCACCTGTCCCACCGCGGCGGGTCCTTGGGGAGCCTCCGAGGGCCTCGGTCGTCGGAGTCACCTGGCTCTGGGTCCTGGGATCCTGCGCCAACCCCCAGAACTGGGAGGGGAGGCGGGTGGCCACCTGCCGCTACCACCTGCAGCACTGCTCGCGCCCTCCCGGGTAGGGCGGTACAAAAAAGGTTGTCCGTCCCGGGATGGGGGCGAGACCCGACGGGCTGAGGGGAACAGGGGCCGCCGCACGTCTTTCCTCTCAGAGGTACAGTCTCGTTCCCCTGAGCCGAGACCCCGGGTCCGGGTCCCAGCGCTAGCCCGCCAGACCCCTGTGCTAGCCCACCAGATCCCAGAAGACCACGCAGCTGCGGCGCAGAGGAATCGATGGCCAGCGCGGCTCGTACTTACGGGTCAGGCTCTGTCCCCGCAGCGCCACCGCAGCCCGCAGCCGCCGCGGCTCCCCGCGCTCACTGATGCTCTGCTGAAGGTCCCTGGCATCCCACCGGCTCCTCCCCAAGTGTCCTCTAGGGGGCGAGCGCGAGCCCACACTGAGCTCCCTGGGAGATGTAGTCTTGCAACCTCTGCAGCTCCCTCGCCCCCCTCCTTCGCCTCCGGCACTCGGTGCGCCCTCTGTCTTCCTCAAGGGTTCACTTTGTGATGGTTAATAATTTTGGAGCATCTTATTTGAGTGCTGACTACCTCTCCAGATCAGTACTTTCAAAATATGGTAACTGAATCAACAGCTTCAGCATCATCTGGGGACTTGGTGGAGAAGCAGGCGATTCAGTTTTTACTCTATTAAAAACTCTGGGCGTGAGGCCCAGCAGTCTGCATTTTCACAAACCCTTCAAGTGACTCTGAAGTAGCCTCAGTTAATGAGCATCTGCTCTAGACATACCCTTCTCCTTGTCACACACCTATGGCATTGGTTACACACATGCCTGTATGTTCCTAGGTACACTGAAAAAAATTCAGTTTTCCAATCTCTTGTTGCTCCAATGTCCTCCTAACATGCCTCCAGAAAGCCTTTGAGACACCTGAAACTCAAGAGAGAATGGATCAAACTAAGGATCTTCGCATCCCTCAATCTCATTCTCCTCCAGCCTTAAGTCCACAGCATTTGCCAACTGGAAGTCACTTAAGGCCTTAGTGAGAGCTGTAGGGACAGAAAGACAGGGCTCTGAGTCATACTGGAGGGAGTGACATCAAAGACGGAAGGTGGGAGAACAACCAACTGTCGCCAGAAGTCATGGGGAGCAATGGAGCATTATTGAAGGAGTGAAAAACTTCAGCATGTTTAAATGTTAATGGGTAAAAAATCCAGTTGAAAGGGAGCTGCTGACTATACCAAAGAGGAAAGGGTATTTCATGCTGTGTTATTCCCAAGAAGGCTGTGTCTATGTGGGTGGTAGGCGGGAATGCTCGACTTTCAGACACATGACGAGGGGTGAGTGAGTATCAGTGGTGCTCTTGTCTTCACCCATGTCCAGGCACATTTGGTGGTTTCTGGAGACCACTTGGGTTGTCAAGACTCAGGGTGCTACTGCCATCTAGTGGGGTGGAGTTAGGGAGGCTGCTCAACATCCTGCAGTGCCCAAGACAATTCCCACAGTGTCAGGTGTTTCTTTTATTGGAGTAATTGAAAAACAAAGCTGGAGAAGAGTTTCTGATAAGAGAACAGGGGAGGTGGATGATTGTCAGCACAGGCTATGAGGATGGATGTCTAACGTGAAATGGAGGCAAGGTGTTAAGTGGATTTACAGTACTTGAGCAGCCCAGGGTGAAGGAGACCCCAAGTCTGGGGTCTCCACCTGCTACATAGTGACATTTGATGATCAGTATTCTGTTGTTCCTGTCGGTGCAAGTATAGCTGCATCTGTTTTACCGTGAATGCCTCAGAGTGAATTGAAAGCTCGAGATTCCATGTGGATGTGGAAACTATCCACACATATGGTGGACATTTGGACACTTGCAGCTATTACTGTGACTGACAGTGTTCTTCAATGAACAAGAAAGTAGAGAAATGTCAGAAAGGGTTTGGGGAAGGAGGGGTGATAAAGCCAAATAACCAAAACCTAAAAGAAGAGACTTAGGACCAGAGTGCAGAGATGTGCTCAAACAAGCCCTACAGCTAACAGTTGACTCAGGTCTACGTTTCAACCAAGGCAAAGATGGAAAAGCAGAACTACTCAAAGAGTTTGAGTTTAGGGGATAATTTTCAGGGGGTGGGGTGATATTCCAAAGAATACCAGGTCCAGATGGGAAGGGGATAGGAGGTGGGTTGGAGAAGGGTGCGGTACAAGGGCGGGAGAGAGCAGTGGAGAGCTCATCAGGAACAGGATGCAGAGCACGGTGGGACATAGAGGCAGGGAAATGTCTTATATTTTGGAAGTTGACAGTTGAAAACAGGATGAAAAATTAAGACTGAGTCTGAGGGCTTGCAGAGTCCTGTAAACCACAACTATTGTATCCACATATCTGTGTACAACATGGTCTCTCCTGTCGGGATGAATGAATGGTCCTGGCTTCTGGCCAAAACCAGTCGTCCCCTATGCCTGCACCTTTGGTATCTCCAAGTCAGCTTGCCAGCCCTTCTTCCTCACTCGGATCATCAGTTCTTCCTTCTCTCCCAGATTATTCACAACATTATATAATTTAGCAATAGTTCTCTCATCCAATAACTATTCCTTTAATATCACTCCTCTGTCCAGTTACTATCCCTTTTTGTTTTGTTTTGTTTTGTTTTGTTTTGTTTTCCATTCCCAGAAAAATGTCTCAAATGAAGTCCCTACCCGTGTAGACTCCAGGTCTCCCCTCCATTCTCCTGTGAGGACCCTCCAACCAGACTTTTGCCCCAATAAATCCACAAACTATGCTTGTCAAAGTCACCAAATACCTCTCTATTACTATATCCAATACTCAGTTTTCAGTTCTCAATTCTACTTTACCTTTCAGCAATAAATGAATGTCTTTTCTTAGCACACTTCTGATTTTCCTGCTGCTTCTTGCTGTAACTTCTCAGACTCCTGGTTCTGTCTCATCTTCCTGAGTGATTGACCTTGGAGTGTCCCAGAGCACAGTCCTGAGATCATCTCTCTATCTATACTAACTCCTTTTATGACTTCATCCTATCTCATGGTTTTAAATGCCATCTATACACTGATGACTCCCACATGTTGATCTCTTGCTTGGGGGTTCTCCTTTGAACTCCAAACTCATATATCCATCTGTAACAA